TCATTGTGTATTTAACTTGAATCATTGTGTATTTAACTCAAATTTTGCTACAATAGGCTCCATTCTTAACAATAGGTTGTCCTTAAATTGGGTGTTCTTAATCCGGGGACTACCTGGTTTTGGTTTCCTGTTTATACCCTGAAGGGCTGACATCAATCGTGGACCTTTTGAGTTACAGAAGGATAGATTTTCTAGGAAGTCAAGTATATCTCCTTTTGTGTGGTAACTATTAGATGCAAGTGGATTGCATAAAAAAAGAAGCAAGTACTAAGAAATCAACTGCCTCATTTGCCTTGGAAATGCAATACTTTTTTTAAATTAGAAAATTAAAATAAACAATTCTGGGAATAGAGCGGTAGTTTGCTTAAGTATGGGAGAAGCCATTACCAGATTTGCATTCTAATCACAATCAGTGTTTATGAGCAAGGCTGAATTTAAATCAGCCTTTAAGGTTAGCCAGGAGTTCTAGGATTTGCAACCTAACAATCCTGGTGGTCTAAGTGCTGAAGGCTGTCTGAAGTGCTTTTGAGAATGTTAACAAGAGCTTGAAGTGCTAAAACAAAATTGCCATTAATGGGGTGAGTTTGGGAATTGATGTTTGCCACATATGTTCCACACTGTACAAAAGCTACATCAGAACAATAGTTGCCCATATTCTTTTAATGAAAGTCCTTTTAGCTCTATTCTTCTCATGGAATTGTTGCTCATCTATTATTTCCATATATATATATCTAGGCTTCCATGAGCTCTTTCAAATGCATCCTGTGAAAATCCACCATGTCCCAGTCACCCTACTGGCCTGACTTTATTGAAACCAGCTTTTGAAGAGGATCTTTTGAGTAGAAAAGTGTCAGGGGAGGCAACAACCATTCTCTCCCAGGCATTTTCTCTTTCCAAATTTAAATAGCATACCTTCTTTGCTCTGTGGAGTTCTTGGTGCTCTGTTGGTGTTACCTAGTTGGGTAATGAAACGTCTGCAAGCAAACAACCAAGCTCAGAGAGCACCAAGGACTCCATAGTTCAACCCTGAGCTACAGATATTCTCTTCTATTGGAACCACATATAGGTGTCCAATGCTTCTTTGATTTCTCCGTCTCACTAGTTTCTAGATCCTTGTTTATACATAAAGTCAACTATCTATAAAGGAAGATCAGTCAGCAGCTTCTCTACTCTCAGCTGAAGGAAATGTATATTGTTTTTGTTTTTAAAAACACACAGAGTTGAGAAGTGTTAATATTTCTTTGCAAATAATATGTAATTTGTCCCTGAAGTAGCTAGCCTCAGCAAGCTGAAGAATTGTGATAATACTGTAATTATATATATGTCAACACTTTGAAACAAAAACCATGAGGCACATTTAAGTTTCTTAAGTTGCAAAGCTTCAAGAAACCAAAATAAGAAAATGGGACTCATATATTTTAAAAATTGCATGAATGAAGATCAGTGATGATATCAGATCAGCAGCTATACTTGCTGTTGCTCAGCAGTAACCGTGGAGCAGGTGATGTCTACGTTGCTACGTTGAGTGCAAAGTGCTTGTGCAATGCACTCAGCAAGAGTCTTTGCAAATGTCAGCCCTTTGAGGTAGGCCAGGCCAGGAATGAGACTCCACAAGGACTACTGAAACTCTATTGTTGCAGGGTATAATAACAGAATCTCAAAAGCCTGACGGTGTTCCTCTCATCTCCTTACATATATCAAAGTGAATCAAGACAGATCAATCCTGAGTTTCTTTCTTACCCCACTCCTCCTTTTCAGGGCTAAGCTGATGTTTAAATGATCTAGCATTCCTTCTTCTTCAGGGTTTTGTCCATTGTTCTTTAGATCAAAGTAGTATGAAGCTGTGATGCCACTGCATTGCTCCCCTGTTGTCTTTAACAATTTCACCTTAAGTATTCTAGTAAACTCTCCGAAAAATTGATTACTCATAACACTGCATGAGAAACCTCAATGAGAAAGGATTAAATAAAGCTCCAGGAGATCAGCTATGAAGTTATTTAGGGCCTATGCATATTGCACCCTTAAATTGTTCTTGTCCTGTGCTAATGTTGGTTTAACTCTAAACCAGCTTAAGAAAATCCTGTCCTGTCTGGGAAAGTTTGGCAACAGCTTGCAAAGTATTCAGTCTAGACTCCCTCCCTCCTTCCCTCCTTCCTTCCGTCCTTCCGTCCTTCCATAGATACACGTGTGTGTCTGTGTATGAAAGAAGGTTAAAAATTAGATTAAAATATATACACTGTTAAAGCATTAAATACATATGTGTGCAGACCCAACTACCACCTTAAAATAAAAACTCCTTTCTTCACACCCTATTGGTCTCTAATGTCTTCTAGAGCTATGTTTACTAATAGTGCTGCAATATAGCATGCTAGCTATAACTCTTGCCTAGCATATGGAATGCTGCTCAGGAGAACTGATTTATTATTGTTGATTTATTGTCATTGATATTTTGCAATTTTGATTTATTTTATTGTTGCATTATTATTCTAACTTCTTGTAACCTGTTCAGTCTTTGAGTTGTGTGGGCTATAAAAACTGTAAAATAAATATATAAATGTGGGTTTCTTTCATTATTATTTTTCTTTCCTTGAGCCACCTACTTTTCTGCGGATTTCCCCCCAATAAGTCCAGCAGTACACTATTTCATCATTTCTCCAGTACTATGAAGTACAAAGGTTTCATTGGAGCAATCCACTACAGCAGTTACAGCTGTGGCATCTTCCCTAGATATATGTTTTGCACAAAATGATTTTTATATGCCATAGCTGTTGAACAGCAACCTGATTTTTTTCTAGCTCGGCCATTACAATTTGCTGTTTTGTAGTAGTCTGATAAAGAAAGGCTCCGAGTCTACTTCTAGTGAATCTGTTAGATTTAGTCCTATAGAAAAATTAATAAAATGTATACTAATTCATGTTCACTGAAGCTCCCAGTCCCAAAGATGATTAGGTTACTGAGTAATATGCACATTTTGTTATTTTGCAGGAAATTGAATTTTTGGACATTACAAGCATCCGAGATACTAGAGTGGGGAAATTTGCAAAGATTCCTAAAGTAAGTTTATGACATAGTATATAGAAGTCTTCTCCAACCTAGTATCTTTCAGATGTATTTGACTTTGGCTCCTGAAATTGGGCAAGCTGATTGGGAATTTAGAGGTCAGGGAAAACTGTTCTATACATCTTTTGTGATGAACAGAGGTGTCACACAGACAAAAAAATGGGCAGGGCATTGAATGTGCAGTTGCAACCATCATCTTGACATTTTTGATATCTCCCTGATGCCCTTGCTCAAGACTGCTGATTTACAAGAGGATCCAACAGAATGCTGCTGCTGTTTTAGCAACAAGTCAAAAGAAATCTGCTGTAGTTAATTTATTTTCCATCTTTTGTAACAACTCTGTCCATAGTAAAAAAGGCCATGTGCAGATTGAGACGATGTGAAAAACAGCTTCCAGTCTGTGACCTTAACGGACTGGGAGAGGATTTAAGTGCCTGCAACTGAACTGGAAAAAGTGAATTTTTCCATCTTCACCTTTCCCTCCCCACAGTGGTGTCTCCAGCACTACAAATGCGACACAGAAGGTCCTTTAGTGCAGGGAGATCTCTCCCAAATTTGGCAGAGGCACCTTCTCTGATTGGAGCTCTGTTCAGAGAAGGTTTCCCACATGATTTCTCAGAGGTTTGAAAATAATTCTGCTAGCAATCAGATACAATCGAATACCAATAAATCTTAACAGAAGAGGTTGAGGTAGCTGTGCCTCCTTTGAGTGCCATTAAGTAACACAATATTGCTGAAGAAAGGGAAGGAGAGCAAAAGAATGGATTTTTAGAAGTAGGAGCCAAGCTTCTACTGTGAACTATTATGGAGGGGAGAAATTTGTGGGCAGGAAATCAGTACAGTATGTGCACTCTGTGTGTGAATGTGTATGTGTTTTAGGCTACAGAGCTGCATTATTGCTAGGATGCTGAGGTTTGCATGCCTTAAAGGACTTCAGAAAAGAAAAAACATCAGTCTGAATGGTGACAGCTGAAGCTTCCCACTATCCAAGTCACATAGGGCATGCTTGACAAAACTTCGAAAGTGCAGCAGCAACAAGGCCACAGCTTTACAATATTTCATTCTTAGTGCCAAACTAGGATCAATCTATATAAGCATTTTACTAATACTGTGATGTGTGACTCACTTGCATGGCATATTCATGTATTTCTATAACTATCCTCCTGATGCAACAGCATTAAAATGGAAGCATTCAAACAGCTCCTCCTTGTTCCAGAATAACAATGGAGGCAAGTATTTAATCTTAAGTGCAGTAGTTGTAATGCTGTTAATGCACTGAGCAGCAATTGCATTTTGAAAAATAGCCATTATGTCTCTCAGACATGGACAGGACGCCAGTGTAGATTCTGTCCTGATGTTATGCTTGCTAAAACATCTGCTTCCTTAGAGGTGGTCCTGAACTTCTAGACCATAGGTAGAAATACTTAGGATTCTGGTCTTATCAGGGCCAAGCTTGTGGAACAGGATGAAGAGAGACAAAATACCTTCTGAATATTGTAGCTGACTCAATACAAATTACAGAAGCAGCACATTGAAAACTGTTTTTCTCCAATAGCCCCATGTTGGTTACAGCATTTAAAGCCCAGTGTATATCTCACAGTATATTGCAATACTGTAATATACACTGGAGAACCAAAATCACCTTGCTAAAATTACCTATAACTAAGAAAGAAAGAGAGAGCAAACAATAATATTGAGTAAATATTTAATTAAACTATTACTTCTTTTGTGTTCAAAAAGCAAAATCCCACTTTGGATCTTAAGGCAAGGTTTTCTCAAATTTTCTCACTTCTCTTCCTTTCTGTTTTCCTTAACGTGCTATTTTTTATTTATTTACTTGTTGTCTATCTATTCTTTGCAGAACCACAAGCTCCGAGAAGTTTTCAAATTGGATTTTCCAAACAATAACTTTCTTCACAAGATATTGACTGTGGTTTCTGGTCCTGATATGGTGGACCTCACATTTCACAATTTTGTTTCTTATAAAGAAAATGTTGGAAAGGTATTAGAAAATAAGATAAAGTTGTGATGCTGTAACAAATCCTGGAGTCTGTTCAAAAGGAAGAAAAGGGGTTACTGAGTATTTGTGCACAGTCAAAATACTTTTCTTTAGTCAAAATACTTTTCTTAGCAGGTTTAGTTTATTTTTTATAATGTTCCTTAACTATTCTAGAGGTTTATGCAAGCAAAAAGCTAACCAAAATAGCCACACGGTACCATATGTGAGAGAACCAGTTGAAATTATGCCTAAAGGGCATTAGAGATGGCAGACTTTGGTTTTAATCTAGCTTGGGCATGAGGTTTACAGGGTATTTATGTGCGTTTCCACCCTAAAGTATTTCACAGAATAGAGCCATGGGCAAAAATGGACCAAGATTGTTTTAAAAGTTAAATAAACCCAATACCAGTGTAATATAGTGGTTAGGCTAGGCCTGATTACTTTCATATTCAAATCCCCACCCAGCTATGAGTTCCCTTCATGGCCTTGAGACACTCCTGATGTCTTAGCCAAACCCTCCTCATAGGACTGTGATGAAAACAAAAGATGGTAGGAAGAACCAAGAAGGTTGCACTGAACTGTCTTCAAGCAAAGTTGGTATTTATATCTATTGACCCTATATTTATTTAGACAAATACCTGAGTATGAGTACTAAAGTGATCGTCCATTTTAGATGGAAGGGGAAATACGTTAATTTGTTCCATTTAGTTTAAATACATAGAAAGTAAATATCATTGATTCAAATTGTGGCATCGATTAGAATCATGTCTTTAGAAAGGATAACAATAATAGAAAATGAGCATTTATTCCATATGGAAATATTGCCTGGCCCTGCCACTCCTGCACTGAAATGTAGACATTACACTTCACAATTTTTGGTCTTTCAGCTTGCACCATTGGCTTCATTTTTCAGAACTGGGCAGATGACCTCATGGACTTCGTTAGGAACCCCTTTATATATAATGCTTCCCGCTACACTTTCTTGGAGAAAATGTAAGTAGTTATTCATAAGTTATTCATCCACTTGTGTTTCCAAGTGGTTCTTGTCAGTCTTAGTGGTATGGTATGGTGGTTGAGTGAAGCTGAAAGCAGGTCACTCAAAAACACAGGAGTGTTGTATTTTTGTAGGAGGAAGGTACATAACCTTCCCCTCCCTTCAAAGAGAGAACAACAGCCAAATATGGGCAAGACATTCTCTGTAGTCATTTTCTTCATATTGTAGCTGATGTAGATGCAATCCCAGCAGCATCAACTCATTGAAATCTTTCGTCTTATTGACCATTTGGGACATTAGGAGAAGGAAACAAGGGACTTCCTCTTTGTTTCTTCGCCGGTCCCTGCTCTCCTATCCTGTGACTGAAGGCTTTTAAGTTCTTCCTTTCTGCCTGTTTCCTAGACGAAGAATATTCCCTTCCTTCTCTTTCTCTCCCCTCTGTGAAAGCCTAGAAATCCAGGCTTGGTACTCCAGCATATAACTTTACTTGTCTTTTTGGATCTTAAGTATCTATTTTGGATACTCTTAACCAGTTTGATTCTACTCACACAGGCTCTAGGCTCCAGTTCCTGGGGGAATCAAACCAGAGTTACTTCAGTATTTTCCCCACAATGGCTACCTTCCTTCATTCTTTTTTGTCCCACAGCTTTGTAGGTAGCAAACTAATGAAAATGTATCTATCCTGCCCTTTCCTGCAGTCTGGTGAAACTGAAGCTGCAGCTGAACGCTGAGGGGAAAATTCCTGTCAGGAAGTGAGTATGGTGTTTATGATGCTGTGATCAATGATGCACTGAGTCTTGAAATGGCCCTGAGATGTGACGATGGCATAGGCCCCTACTGGGCTTTGGGCAAAGTTGTAACCAGCTAGTCTCTATTCCCAGAGCATATTTATTCAGCATTTTTCAAAAGGAATGTCACAATCCCACAAAATACAGTGGAATGCAGAAGTCTGTTACACAGGGGGAGTATTCCATCTTGGCAGTTTGATCACACACACACACACACACACACACCAGATATTCACTGTTACCAACAGCAAAGCATCACTGATGTGTTCTATTTGTGATAGATTTTTAAATGTACTACTTCCTTGGCATCTTTTGCAAAGTAGTGCATTTAAAAATATATCACAAATATGACACATCAGTGATGCTTTGCTGTCAGTAACAGTGAATGTCTGGTGTATGTGTGTGTATGATAGGTGTGGCATAGTTCACCATGGATATTCCCTCTTCCTGGAAATATAATTGTGTAATGTTTAATGAAGAATCAGATCTGATCTGGTTTACCGCAAGAGCATTCTTATGTTTTCTATTCAGTGCTTCTATTGCGATGCATTAAATCAGGGTGGCATCTTATAGCACATAGGCCAACTGCTGCCTCAGATGTTAGTTTTGTGGCCCCTGGAACTATCCAAAATCATGACTACAACATTTGAGAGCAAGTCACTAAAAAACAAAAGTTTGATTTCCCACCTTATCTTTGTCAAAAAAGCCCAAACAAAATATGTGTTGGATATTTCCATCCTCTCAAATAAAACCCCCATTCAGCTCCAAAAACACAGAAGCCTCAGCCCTTGTGATGGAATGGAATTATGAAGGCCAGACTCAGGGAGAAAAACATTTTCTTTCATCTC